GAGGGTCAGAGAATAAGAGGAAGACCCCCAACAAGATGGATCGGCCAGGTGGCATCATTGATGGCGTCAAGTGTGGCAGCGGTGGTGGGGTTGGCCCAGGATCGGACATTGTTTCATTCTGCTGTGCATGGCGTCGCTATGAGTTGGTTCCAACTCGATGGCACCTGACAACAACAACATAGTGTTTCCGAGGAACAGCAGTCTGGCGCATTAACCCACAGCGCCACACCAGGACTCCAATTGTATAATACATAATAAAAATGAACTACTAGAAAAGTGAAATTAGAAAACGTAAACAAAGAAAAACATACATATGAATATTTTCTTAATATTTTCAACAGATACAAAATTACAAAATTTTATAAGTTCTTATAAAGTACCCAAGCTCCTTCTTTCAGTTTCAGCATTTAGAACTAACCAGTTCACAGACCACACCTCTTTTTAACAGCTTTACTGAATATAATTCACATACAATTCACCCATCTAAAGTGTACCATTCAATGGCATTTAGTATATTCACAGAGTTGTGGAATCATCACAATAAATTTCAGAAAACTCCATGCCTTTGAGCAGTCACTCCCTACCTCATCCCTCTCCCTCCACACCTTAAATCCTCCTGTTGTTAAATGCCACTAGGCAGTTCTGACCATAGCAGCCCTGTATAAAGTTTCCAAGGAGCAGTTAGTAAATTTGAACCACCAATCTTCTGGTTCCAGTGTTTATCCCACAGTGCCACCCTAGGACTCCTAAATCCCCCTGCTTTCTTACCCTGACCCCCCACCCCAAATAAACAAAACAAAGACTCATAGCAACCCTAAATAGGGTTTCCAAGACTGTAAATCTTTACAGATGCAGACATCTCATCTTTCTTCCAAGGAAACATTGATGGTTTTGAACCACCAGCCTTGTGGTTAGCAGTCCAATGCTATAGCACAACCAGGCATCCTCCATGCCTTTTATTGTTGTATCCTCAGTAGGTTCTGGCTCATAGCTACCCTGTACAGGGTTTCCTGAGGAGCAGCTGGTGGGTTAGAATTGCCCACCTTGGAGTTAGCAGTCCAGTGTTGGTCCTAGAGAATTACACCAGAGCTCCAGGATGGAAGCAGATGTTGGAGTCATGTGGCAGTGAGCCAAGGAATGGAGTCACCTGTAGATCTTCTGCAGTGTTCCTTAAACCTTTGCAGGACTCTAAGGCTCCTATATAGCAGGAGCAGCTGATGAATTGGAACTGCCAACCTGGCAGTAAGCTGCCCAGGGACCCAGGCTACCAAGGCTCCATGACTTAGGCAATGAGTATCACAGGTTATGCTTTAAGTAGCACTGATTTAGGCTGCTTGGGGCCAGGCCAAGGATGACTTTGTGGTATAGTGGTTGAACA